AGACTGGAAAACTAGCTCCCTACAAATCACAGCAAAGCTAATAGGTGGCTGATGATACCAGTTCCTGTTGCTACCCACTACCCCACATCCATGGCTCCTGCTCCATAGACAAGATCTGGGTGGGGCAGCTGGTGAAAAACAGTTCCTCCTTTTCCCCCAGCTCCTACTCCATAGTACAGAGGTTCCGTCCATAGGAGGTGGAAACAAGGCTCAAAGACTGGCAATACCCTGTCCCAGCCAAGGGGCTTGACTTCAATTGAATCAGATTGTACAGCAATTTATGCCCCAAGGCACTGTCAAGAACAATAGAGCAATCACCTAGCAATTAGTGGAGGCTAACAGCCAGGTGTGATACCAACAGAGGCAGACCTGCCAGAAGCTTAATGGAAAGATCAAGAAACAAGACAGTCAAATCACTGAACTAGCTCAGCCAAGTCACTGCAGCTGTTACACATGTGTTCAAAGATCTAAAGGGAACCATGTTTAAACAATTAAAGGAAGCCTAGTGGCAATGTCTCATCAAATACAGAATATCAATACAGAGACAGAAATAGTAAGAAAGAACCAAATGAAAATGCTGGAGTTCAAAAGCACAAAAACAGGAACCAAAGAATCAGCAAACTTGAAGATAGATCAATAAAGATTACATATTTGAAGAATACAGAGAAAGAAAGAATAGAGATAATAGAGAGAAAATAAAGACAAATGAGCAGAGTTTCGGAGAAAAGTGGGGCACCATTAAGTGCACCATCATATTTGTAATACAAGTACAGAAGTCAAGAGAAAGGAGCGCATAACACACACAAAAGAATAGCTGAAAACTTCCTAAATTTAATTAAAAACCATTAATTTACTTACCAAGAAGCTCAAAGAACTCCGAGTAGAACAAACACAAGACCATCCACATCCAAATATATCATAATAAATATGTTGAAAGACAAAAAAAATCTTGTCTCCCTAGTTGTGGCAGGCCAGGTCTCACTAATGCAGGCCTCCATAACAACTGTTTCAGTACTGAGTGGTTAAGTTGAATATTAAAACGCCAGTGCCCTTATACAAAGGCTGGACTGTAACAAAAGCCCACCAAGAGTTACGCTGAGGCCTTTCCTGAGCCTTAAAGTATGACAAAATAATGAAGGAATTCTTAACAGACCTAGTTAGGATTAAACAAGTTTTATTGTGGGTCTGAAGAAACTCCCCAGGCCTCCACAAACAAGTTTATTGGGGATCTGAAGGAACTCTCCAACCTCTGTGATTTAGCAGGAGACAAGGGTAATAACTCCAGCCTGAACCCATTTAAATTAAGTAAATTTCCTGAGGCTCCAGAGGAAGGTCCTTGAGGGCTCAGACCTTATAGATTGAAAGAAGTTAATCACTTATATCATTAGATGAATACAAACTTACACGTAGACATATAGCTTAGGAGGTATATATAAGCTATGGAAAACTTTGTAATTTTGAGTTGGTCTGGCCATCATTTTCAGACCTTCTCCCTGTAACTGGTTGCAGAAAAACAAAAACTTTGTTTCTCCCCAGTTCATCTGCATCTTGTTATTGGTCATGAGAAACGGCGTCCCCTCAGTTTGGTCTGGGACCACAGTGGCTATCCATGAAGTGATTGCTACCATCTTTTCTTTCAAAAAATCTCTATCTCAACAGCAGGTTTTAGTCCTCTCCTTCCCTCTAAGCAGCAGCTTCCTTGCACAGCCCAGAGGCAAGAAACCCCGTCTTATCCCTTCCACAGCAGCTTCTGCCCAGGGGACCCTTGCCCAACAGGTAGTCTTCCTGGAGGGGGCTGGCAGTATGTTTAAGCCACAGTCCACAGGATCCACGGCAAGATGCTTTGAGCAGAGGAGTCCATGTGCTGTCCAGACATCTGCCAGGAACTCGCCCTGCCAAAGACGGGATGCAGGCCGCCCTTGTACTGGCTCCCCTTTCTCCTCCCCTCTCTATACCACACTGTAGTATCACTGTCACTGAGCACTTTAGCAAGTTTGGTGGCTGACCAGACATCGTGTTAATGGTGGAGGGTGTCCAGGTTCTTGGTGTCTTAAGCAAAGAATTGGACAAAACGCAGAAACAAAGCAAGGAAGGAATGAAAGTTTTACTGAAAATGAAAGTATGCTCCACAGTGTGGGAGCAGGCCTGAGCACAGGGTCTCAAAGGCCTCGTAACATAATTTTTTGGAGTTTAAATACCCTCTATTTGGGGTATGCCCTATGTAAATGAAGAGAATGAAGTTATAAAGTCATTTACTTGGCCTATGGAGAGGATATTTCCTGTCATAGCTGAAGTGTGAACCAGCCTTATGTTCTCTGCCTCCAGACCCTATTTTCCTGCTTCAATTGGGCTGCTTTTTATGATATCCAGCTCCTTTTAATCGCACTCTCAAGCTTCACCAGTACTTCTCTCACCTCCTACCACCAAGTGGAGTCAGCAAGGACAACCAGGTGACTGCTGTGATTATCTCGTTACAGAAGATAAGAAGACTGAGGTTCTTAGAGATTGAAGCTTGTACTGTGTGTCAGTAGCATATCCAGGATTTGAACTATGGTTAGCCTTCTCACCCAAAGTCCATTACACTGCCTCAATAAATGTCTTCTACATACATATATTTACTAACAAGGCTGTGGTAATGAAATTTCATTAGTAAAAATGAGTGGGGTTTCAAAACATTGCTTTATGTGAGATTGCTTTATGTCCCCCAAAATGTATTTCATGGAGCATTAGTATGCCCAGAGATATTAAGATGTATTCCTCAAAAACAATGAAAGAGGTAATAGAAGTAACTCATAGTCTACAAGTAGGTGTGTTCCACTCCACCGCCTGTCTCTGTTGGAGATTTAGGAAATAAATGGGTACAGTGAAGGACTTTGGAAGTCATGGAATAAAAAAATCTGCTTACCTTTACTTAACTGAGCACATCCCACAGAAGGAAAGAGTTTATTATTACAGCCAGGAGATGGTTCCAAATTACCCAGCTCATTTAACAAAGGAAGGTTTTCCCTTTATATAGGCTTATACTCTAGATATTACACGTGAAAGAATTTTAGGTTTACAGGCTTAGAAATCACGAGTGAAAGGGCTTTGGATTTACAGCTTTAGGACTCACATGTGAAAAGGTTTCTGGGTTTACAGTTTTAGGCATAACATATGAAAGCGTTCTGGGTTTACAGTTTTAGGAATCACATGTGAAAAGGCTCTGGTCTCCGGATGGAGGTTTGATCTTAAGTAAAAACAGTGTCTTCCGGAGAGTTTCCCCAATATCAAGCCTGTTATTTACAGGAAGGAGATTCAGGAGGCACCAATGAGCCCGCTTTTTCTTCCATTGAAATGCAGTGTGGAAGTTGAAGGGGAGTTGATCCCAGATGCCTGGGTTTCCTTCCTCACTATAACCACAGAATCCTTGTTAAAACCATCTACAGGCTGGGTGCAGTGGTTCACACCTTTAATCCCAACACTTTGGGAGGCCAAGGTGGGAGGATTGTTTTAGCCCGGGAGTTCAAGACCAGCCTGGGCAACATAGTAAGACTCCATCTCTAAAAAAAAAATACAAAAAAATAGCCAGACATGATGGCATACACTTGCAGTCCCAGCTACTTGGGAGGCTGAGGTGGGAGGATGGCTTCAACCAGGGAGGTAGAGGCAGTGAACTGATATCATGCCACTGTACTCTAGCCTGGGCATCCGAGTGGGAGATTCTGACTCCAAAAAAGAAAAGAAAAAAGACAAAAGAAAAACTCCATCTACTATGTTGACACTAGCACTCAAAGACATGCAATTTGGGAAATGCCAACTAGAGGTTTGCAAGCTTTATGCTCTCTGAAGCCCCCAGAGACACCACAGCAGCCATTCTTTCAAAATGAAACAAACTTACATAGTCATTTGACATTAGTTTCAGGAAGAAATGAGAAAAGTTTTTTTTAATGGGGAAAAATGATTCACAGGGAAAAATGGTAGTAGTCTGTTCTCACACTGCCAATAAAGACATACCCAAGACTAGGTAATTTATAAAGGAAAGAGGTTTAATGGACTCACAGTTCGTCATGGCTGGAGAGGCCTCACAATCACGGTAGAAGGCAAATAAGTCACGTCTGACATGGCAGCAGGCAAGAGAGCGTGTGCAGGGGAACTCCCATTTATAAAACCATCAGATCTTGTGAGACTTATTAACTGCCACGAGAACAGCATGGGAAAAACCCGCCCCTATGATTCAACTATCTCCACCTGGCCCTGCCCTTGATCCATAGGGATTACAATTCAAGGTGAGATACGGGTAGGGGCACAGCCAAACCATATCAGCAATCAAACAAGACTTAAAGAATAATGTCTTTATTTTTGTTTAAGTTGAGGCATGAAAAGTTAAACATGACTGCATTTAAATTAAGGAGAACGAAAGAATAACAATAAATATGCAGTGTCTACAAGGTACTCTGTGTTCATCACAGTGATGGTATTAACCAGGCCACAGGCTTGGTGAGACACATTTTTTTCTCTGCTACAGGGATAAGTCTGCCAAGCAGATGGCACAGACATAGATAGACCAGTCTCCCCAGGTACATAAGAGAAACATGGCTAAGTTCTTACAATCCCATTACCCATTTTTCTTGACTACTATCAACCTACTCACACATTGTTTTATCATCTTTTTTATCTAAAAGGGAAAAGCCTGTTTTCTTCTATACTACATTCACATAATATTTCTGACACCAAATGTGTGTTTTTTTTTCCCCTATCCCAACCAGTTTTCCAACTCTTCAGACACCAACAGGGTATCCCCATCTTTAATTCAATTCTGACACTAAATACCTGGAATTAATGCAGACCCCATAGGTTAAGGGCTCTGTCCCACAAAACTGTCCCCAACTTCAAACACCATCACAACTAGTGGATCCTCAGGTTGTCCATACTTCTGTCAAACATGACTACACATGGGGTTCCCACAATCCCCTCCTCAGGTTTGATAATTTGATACGGCAATACAGAACTCAAGGAAATGCTTTGTGTTCACCAGTTTATTTTAAGGCTATTACAAAGGATATAGATGAACAACAGCCAGATGAAGGGGTACCTGGGACAAGATCCAGAAGGGTCCTGAGCACAGGACTTGCTGTCTTTGTAAAGCTGGAGTGCATCACCTTCCTGGCACATCAAAATGTTTCCCAACCCTGAAGCTCCCTGAACTTCACAGTTAAGGGATTTTTATGTCTTGTTGATGTAGGCATGATGGATTATTCAATCTCCAGCCCCTCTCCCCTCTCTGGAGGTGGGAGACTGAAAATTTGAAACTTTCAATCATGATGCAGTCTTTTTGAGCAGCCCCCATTCTGAGTTATCCAGGTGCCCATCAAGAGTTACCTCATTGGAACAAAAAATTCTCCTATCACTAGGATATTCAAAGGAATTTAGGAGCGTTGTGTCAGGAACTGGGGTCAAAGACCAAATATTAGAATAAAAGATGCACTCCATCACTTTGGAAATTACAAGGGTTTTAGAAGAGCTGAACAAGGAACTGGATAGGAAGATCAAATATATATTTTTTATTATATCACAATATCACATCAATTCAATGTATATTTATTACACTTTCATTATAGGTTGAAGTTTACAGACTGGTATACACTAAATGCATTTCAGGTAAGCTACTCCCTAAGAACCTATAGGAAAGCACAATAATCAGATGATAAGCTGTCTCCAAAATCCAGCTTCCAGGAAGTTTTCCTATAGACTGAAATGCCGTCGATAGAATTTAGACAATAGTGATCTTTAAGTCCAAAGGGCCTGGGTATCCTAACCTCATCTTGATCTTTTTCTTCCAATATTCCAATATCACATCTGTACCCAATCTTTTTTTTTCTTTTTGAGATAGAGTCTCACTCTGTTGCCCTGGCTGGAGTGGAGTACAGTGGCACGATCTCAGCTCACTGCAACATCCACCTCCTGGGTTCAAGCAATTCTCCTGTCTCAGCCTCCCGAGTACCTAGGTCTACAGGTGCATCTGATCTGTACCCAATCTTATTGGGGTCTGCAGCATTGTCTATTCAACACAAAAACTAGACATGATCATTTTTTAGTTCCATTATGTGCCCAATACAGAGGCTTATTCAGCAGGTAGTTAAATGTCTGGTGAAAGGAAGTGAATCTTGAAGACATATAAGCTTTGTTCAGAAAAGATTTATTTTTATAAGAAACAAGAATAGGCCAGGCGTGGTGGCTCACACCTGTAATCCTAGCACTTTAGGAGGCTGAGGAGGGTGGATTGCTTGAGCTCAGGAGTTTGAGACCAGCCTAGACAACATAGTGAAATCCCATCTCTACAAAAAGCACAAAACTTAGTCAGGCATGGTGTCACAGACTTGCAGTCCCAGCTATTCAGGAGGCTGAGGTGGGAGGATAACTTAAGCCTGGGAGGTTGAGGCTGCAGTCAGTCATGTTGGCGCCACTGCACTCTGGCCTGCATGACAAAGCAAGACGCTGTCTCAAAAAAAAAAAAAAAAAAAAAAAAAAGCTAAAGAAATCATATATAGAAATGGCCTCTATACCCTACTGTTGGCCCATTCAAAAGTTTACAAGGGACTCAGGTTATAACATAACGAGTAAGTCCTCCCCCTCGGACCTCTGATAGTCTCCGGCAGTGTCGTAAAATACTCAGTATCACATGAAACTTTTTGTCAACTTTCAAAGTCGTGAACTCCTTTATGTCAGCTTCCACTATAAAATAACGACCTAAAAATAAAGATATTAGTGCTAATTTTTATAAGGCCAACTTGCAAAAGTCTTTAATGCATTAAATTATGAATATGAATGGTATTAATCATTTTTTTACTGTTAGTATCCAATAAAACCAAGAACTAGTATTCTTGATAAAATAATCACTATTCTATCAATAGAAGTTGCATGCATGATATTTACTAGGTTACTAGCTATCTGTTGGTATCTCTTGAATGATTCACTTTTCAAGAGGCAATGTGATGTAGTGGTTAACTGAGTAAAGCTCATAACAGTGCTATCACTTAACTGGATGACCTTGGACAAATAAGTTCTCTTCGCCTAGTCTGCAAATTGGGGGTAGTAATAGTAAGTGATATGGTAGTTGTAAGAACTGAAGCTCTTGGCACACTCTGTTATACAGCAAGTGTTCTGTCAGCAGAGCTAGCTGTTATTGCTATTCTAATTTTTAAAACATTGGGAATAGTTCACAATAAACTCTACAGCAGTGTTTCTCAGGCTCACCACTACAGACAATGTAGGCCAGATAATTCATTTTGTGGGTGCTATCCTCTGCACTGACGACTGTTATAGCAGCATCCCTGGCCTCTATCTACTAGATGCCAAGAGCACCCAGCTGTAACAACCAAATATGTCTCCAGACATGGTAAAATGTCCCCTGGTAGGATAACTGCTCCTGGTTGGGAATTAACACTAGATTTAGAGTTTTCTAGAATGAGCTACATTTCTCATGATTTAGTTATATTCTGAACAGTTCACATGTACACATATATATGCTACCTTTTACCTTTGGTATCCTTTGTTTCTTCATTAATAAATCTGTGATAGAGATTTCTGGCCACAGAATTCATAGACTTTTTTGGTTGATACAGGATTTTATATTTACTAATTACTGCCTTGTTGATTTCTTTAATAACATCATTAATTTGACCATAGGTTAAGCGGGATTTCATGTACCTGTAAAAAAGTGTATGGTTCATTATTGTTTTAAAGAATCATACAAAATTACTTTCCTTGAAAAACTTAAGTATGACAAATTTGTACAACGGTAAAACTACGGTACCCTTTATAAAAACAATCTTATATCAACTTCCAAATAAACCAGACAGCTGAATTAAATAGAGGTGACAACATATCAGTGCTAACCTTCTCTAATTATTAATTTCTATTTTTTACCGATGGAGAATTGATATTATAACTTTAATTAAGCTCTCAAATTCTGATTCAAATGGACTGATTAACTGCAACATGTAAATTTAAACATTTTTAAATGTTTGTGAATAAAGGAAAAATTTAAATATTAATAAATTATACAACACATAGCACTCTAGTGCTATGCAAAAACATATTACTTGTTCAGAGAAAGAAAAAAAAGGGAGGAGAAGGAAGAGAAGATGAAGGGCAACAAAGAAGACCACAACAAAGATGACAATGACAATTAAGACAAAGGAGAACTGATGGGGTAGGGGATGTCCAGGAATGAAGGGATATCACTGGAAGCTGCCAGGACAGAGGAGAACCAAAGAGTAGCCATGATGTTTTTTATGCCCTAGCTCAACTTCCCTTAGAACACCGTCTCTTTCACTCTAAATTATACTCTTCAACCTCCCTCTTGCCCATCCTCCCAGGCACCATGGAGTCTTAGAATATAAAAATAGGAGACTCTCAATTTTGAATGTTTTGAACACACCAAAAACAAAACTTGATGATCTGCTTCAATTTATCTCTTCAACACATTGAAACTTCAGTAGGTTAAGCTCTGTCCTTCACTTCTTTTCAAAGTGGCAGCTTTCTAGTCAAAATTTCCTTGATACAATGATACAGAAGTTTATGTAAAAGGAAATGTTCATATTTCCAAAAACTTCATTTTCATTATTCCTCTCTTTTCTAAATTCATTTTTGCTCCCATTTTTTCTAACCACAATTTCCATAAACTCTTAAACCTCAGCTCTCCACAATGCACTTATGAATTCCTTCAAATCCTCTCAATTACCACCTTGATTTCCTCAATAGTCATCCCTAATCTCTGCCAATGTTTTCTACTTTAACTCCACTCTCAGCACCATTATTTTTTAAGTAAATAAAAACTCTATGCTTGGAAAACATGATTTTTTTATCCTAATCTTCTAACTTCATTTCTCAATCATTAAATAACCCCTTAGTTGAAAAATGAATCTCTACCATGACCATTCTAATTTCCCTCCAATAGCTCTTCATGGAAGCATTTTATAAAAATCCTTTACTCCACTGTTCCTCACAGACATCTGTTCTTCACAATAGCTTAGCCAAAGAGCAACAACCAGATCAGAACACCAAACAGTTTTCATGAAAATAAAGCTGTCAATAAAGGAAATGACCACCAGTGTGGTGGCTCACACCTGTAATCTCAGCACTTTGGAAGGCCGTGGCAGGTGGATGACTTGAGGTCAGGAGTTTGAGACCAGCCTGGCCAACACGGTGAAACCTGGTCTGTACTGAAAATACAAAAAATAGCTGGATGTGGTGGTGCATGCCTGTGATCCCAGCTACTTGGGAGGCTGACGCATGAGAATCACTTGAGCCCAGGAGGCAGAGGTTGCAGGGAGCCTAGATCGTGCCATTGCACTCCAGCCTGGGGGACAGAGTGAGACTGTCTCAAAAACAAAAATAGTAGTTAAAAAAAAAAAAAAAAGGTAAAGTAAATGACAAAGTGACCCCTCACCCACACACACACAAAGACTAAAGAGCAATGTCATCCTTATCACTAGTCTCAGAATTGTGAAAGAGCCAGGTATTTTTCAAGTGGCTAATTGGCAGCAATTTTTAAGTAGTAGGTAACACTAGCAGGCATGAGATTAGATTGGGCATTCTCACACACTACCAACAGGAGTAAAAACTGGTATGTGGCACTCTGACATGTCAAGAGCTTGGAAACTGTCACTCCTGTTCTCACAACAAGAGCAAACTGAAAGCTGGTAACTCTTCTCAGACAATCGAGGTCACAGGGCCAAACACTGCCCCCAAAACAGGAGACAAGAAAATACAGAGAATCACAGCTTCCTGGAAACAGAAGGCACCAGACTGAGTAACTGTAGGAACACTTAAATAGTAACTTGACAAACTGCTAAGGTTCAGTTTGAACCAGCTTGAGAGTTAAAATCTCATGGGGATCCAGTTTAGGGAACCCCCATTACTTTCATAAGTTTTACTCTCAGGAACCACCCCTGCCTTCCCCTCAGGTTTTCAAGGTGAGGATAAGACAAAAATTCTCTTGAGCTTCAGCAAATGGAGGGAAAAAGTAATCATTTTGAAATAGGCCAGGGAAAAGTAGAGCAGTTCTGTTATCCAAAACAAAGAACTGCCCCCTCAAGGAAAACTACATTACTAGAACCTTATCTGACCTAGGGGAAGGGTAATTAGAAGATTTCAGCCCCATCTAGCTAAGAAACACCATAGAAGGTCACAGCTCAGAGATGTAGGGGCCCTAAAAAGCCTGAGATTTGATCATAAGATTGTAGAATGCTTCCTCTTTCCAACACCTTACAATCACTACAACAAAGTTACAGAATTATATTAGTGTACTAACACTGAGCAAGCTGCAAGATACAGAATCTACTAAGAAAAAATTTCTAAGGAAACCCAAAGACAACAGGGGAGACAAAAGAAATGGGAACTAGAAGAAACTGAAGCTTCTGACATGTACAACCATAGCAACCATTAAACGTAGCCCAGCTCCTAGACAAAATCTCACACTAAAAGCCAATTTACTTCAGATCCTATTATCAAGATACATCCTGTCCAGCTTTCAACAAAAAATCACTAGGCATAAGAAAAAATACAGGCTGAGATACAACACAAGCATCAGAAGCAGACTGAGAAATGACAGAGATTTTGGAAGTATCAAACCACTAATTCAAATAACTATGTTTAATATGCTAAGGACTCTAATGGAAAAAGGATAAAATGCAAGAATAGACAGACAAAGAAAGGAAAGATGGAAACTCTACAAAAGAATCAAAAGGAAATGCTAGAAATAAAGTGATGGGCTCCATTAGCAGACTAGACTTGGCTAAAGATAGAAGCAGTGAACTTGCAGAGACATGATTATGACATAGATTATGTCAATACTTTCCAAACTAAAATGCAAAGAGAAATAAAAAAAGAACAGAAAATCCAAGAAGTGTGAGGCAATCACAAAAAGTATATCATATAGGTAATGGGAATGCCAGAGGAGAGAAAGAAAGATATGCAAAGAACTCTTAAAATTCAATGAGAAGAAAACAAACAACCCACTTTAAAAATGGGCTCAATATCTGAACAGATATCTCATCAAAGAAAATATACAAATGGAAAATAAGTATATGAATATGAAAAGATCCTCAATGTCAAATGTCGCTAGGGAGTTATAATGTAAAATAATTAGCTACCACTATCCACATATTACAATGGCCAAAATCCAGAACACTGACAATACCAAATGGAAAGGAGTATCTGGAGCAAGAGGAATATTCTGTCATTGCTGGTAGGAATGCAAAATGGTATAGCCATTGGCAGGTTTCTACAAAACTGAACATACTCTTATATGATCCAGCAGTTACACTCCTAAGTATTTACCCAAATGAGGTGAAAACTTATGTCCACACAAAACCTGCACATGAATGTTTTTAGCAGCTTTATTCATAAGTGCTCCAAAATGAAAGCAACTAAGATTGTTTCAATAGGTGAATAAACAAACTGGTACATCCATACAATGGATTACTATTCAGTGCTAAAAAGAAATGAGCGATCAAACCACAAAAAGACACAAGGGATCATAAATCCTTATTTCCAAGTAAAAGAAGCCGGTCAGAGAAGGTTACAGTATGACTCTAACCATATAACATTCTGGGGTTCAGTGGGAGATAGAAAGAGGTGGGATATAGGGCACTTTAAGGACAGTGAAATTCTTCTGTATGATATGGTAATAATAGACACATGACAGTATGCATTCATCAAAACCCAGAGAATGCACAACACAGAATTAATCTTAACGTAAACTAAGCATGTTAGTTAATAGTAATGTATCAATCTTGGTTTGACAACTGTAACAGATATGCTATACCAATGCTCTGTTACTAGGGAAAATGGTGTGCAGGGGAGAAGGGGTATGAGAACACGGTACTATCTGCTCAGTTTTTCTGTAAACCTAACAAAGGTTCTAAGAAATATACTTTATTAAATAAAACCACCACCAAAACAAACTGGTATGAAGAACTCTCCGGAAAGAAAAATTATTCATTACCTTTGCCTCAGGGACACTGCTCCTAAGACTCTATCCCAAAGAAATAAAAAACGAAAAAACAGCCTTGTCTAAAAGATATTTCACTGTACCATTATTTATAACAACCCAAATAATTAAGAAATGCTTAAATAAGTTATTGGATAGCTACATGATGAAATATTATATGACTACTAGTTAATGATAGGAAAATTATCACAATAAAAGAATAGTAAGTTGTATTTACAGTATAACTACGTTGCTATAATAATGGGTATGAGAAATACCTATTATATATGTGTAGCTAAATAAAATCTGAAAAGCTATACCGTATCTTATCTGAATGGCAGAATTACAGATGAGTTTTATTTTCTAACAACAAACACTTTCTAGCAACATGTATTATTTGTATAATAAAAAGGTAACAAGAAATGTAACGTAACATAAAGCTTAGAAGTTAAGCAAAGCCCTGGAATTGAGTTTAAAAAACGTGGATTTTCCTAATTGGTTCCCCATTATTGCCATATGTCAGAAGCAAGGGAGATGTCCCTCTGGGGGAAGCATTTTGTCTTATTCATTCCTCTATTCTCAGTGACCTAGGGCCTGGAATACAGCACAGGCTCAAACAAGCATGGGGTGCACTGCACACATGGAAACCAAACACACATAACACTCTCCATTCTCATTCTCAAATCTATACAACACAATTTCCTAAAAATTACCAGAAAACTGAGGCTACTTCTATAATATAATTGGTAAATCTGTAACACAAAAAGGTCCTAGAGAGGACTGAAGCAATGAATTGATCCATCTATAAATCTCTCTATGAAGGGGTTTTACAACAAAAATCTTCAAAAAATTTACTGCATTTTCTAGTATAACGTGAAACTATTTTATAAAAGATCAATATTTGAACACAGCATTTACAATTAATATAATTAAGCTTTATGATTTAAACAATCATTTATGTTGATTAAGGGGCTGAACATTAAAATTTATCTTAAATACTTACGAAGGCACACCATTGAACTCGTCACAAGTTATAAATGGCATTTCCTTAATACTTCTTTGTTCTTTGGGGGGCTTCTTTATGGGTTCAGGTTCCACAGCTTTGTCTGGTTCTTCAGGATCAAGATCTGATCCCTTAACACTACAGAACAGGGATGTACATGCAAACAGGCAACTGTCAGAAATAAGCAGCATACTGCAAAGTTTTCCCAACTGAAAATAATATTAAATACATACTCATTCTGTTAAATCTTGTCAACATTTTTTTCTATCCCTACTTCTATTGTTCATGAAAATCTAAATGTTGAAGGAAATATTGAAAAATTAAGTTCCCAAATCTTCCATAATATAGTTGTATTTATTTACATGTAACATGATATTTTTATCAGCTGTCCCACTGGCTCCTCAAAGTCAGTAAGTTAACAGCTTTATGGCTTAATAGCTTCTCTTAACCCCTTAACAGCTTGTCTTCCTGACATTCCTAACTCTGAACCTGGAAACCTCAGTTATCTTAGACTTCTATTTATTCTAATTTATCCTGATGGTTGCTCATGTCAGTCCCTGTGTATTGCAGAGTCATTTTAGTTGCCAGCAATGATCATGGGTCACCCTTGGATTCCATCTGCCCAATTTTTAGAGCGAGTGAGAACCCTACTAATATAGCTCCTGCCCCAGTAGCAAACAAATTCTAGAAACACACTGTAGCTTCTAGGTTGCTTAACTGCCAGGGATGTTGCCAGCAACAAGTCAAGATATAGAAAAGACAACATCAGATACAAGAAAGAGTGGGAGGATAGACTCAGGAGCAAGCAAAGGGAATCCCCAGAAAGGCAGGAAGTGAGATCCCAAGATGACAGTCGAATGCTAGACACAGATGGCAGCCAGCCTTACTGACGTGGTGTGACGGCCATGCTGCAGGCTGTCAAGATAAAGATGCTCAATGCACCATAATCCTTCCAAAAATCCTAACATATGAGATTCTATCGTGAGACTGGCTGAATCATACCTGTACTTGTCTGTCTTGACCATGCGTTGAGGAAGCACCTGATTGCTCCCTTATACCCTGCTGTGTTTTATCAGCTGAAAATAACCATTTTGACCTACAGAAAGCTTCTGCTCTGATCTATCCCTGAGAGTTGAAGCTAGGCCATAGTGAGCTTAGAAGAAAACTCTTCCTATTCCCCCGACCAAATTCTTGCTGGATGTCCAGTGACAGGAAAGAGAGAGACAGCATAAAGATGCCAAGTCCCCGCCGAGGTGATGGGAGCAGCAGGTTCATGTGTAGGTAACAAGAGAGCCAGGCCTTGGAGATACAAAGTTTGAGGAGAAAATGTAGGCTGTTAAATCACTGGAACTAGATATCCTTTCAAGTTGGACATGTGAGAGCATTAACAGTGGGGTTAAGTAAGCATGAGTAAAGCAGATAGGAGAGATCTATAATTTAAAAGAGGGGAGAGAAAAAGGAGGCAGCTAAGTCCGAGATGTGGGCTGACAACTAAGAAAGCACAGTGGCAGTGCAGAAAACAGAATTTCAAAGACTAAAAGGTAGTATGCAAAATGAGATCTCAGAAGTAGAACCAGGTCTGAAGAGGGATTTTTGACCTCTTCATGACCTTCAAACAATCGATTTCCTAGGTGTGGTGGTAATGACAGCCAAAAGCCAGTTGTTAGGGCCTCAGGGAAAAAGACACAGCACAGACACACCTTGTAAATGAACAGAGAAAGAATAGACATTTCAGGGAAAAAAAGGGCTAAGCTTATTGTTCCTTTTTTTTTGTGTATGTGGCAGGATCTCACTCTGTTGCCCAGACTGGAGTGCAGTGGCACCATCAGAAACCACCGCAACCTTGGCCTCCCAGGCTCAAGCAATCCTCCGGTGTCAGCTCCCTGAGTAGCTGGGACTACAGGCGTATGCCACTGTGTCTGGCTAATTTTTAGTATTTTTTGCAGAGATGGCATTTCACCATGTTGCCCAGGCTGGTCTCAAACTCCTGGGCTCAAGCAATCTTTCTGCCTCGGCTTCCTAAAATGCTAGGCGTGAGCCACTGTGTCCAGCCTCTTTGGCTATTTTTAAGATGGTAAGTTCCTTAAGCTTATTTTTACCCAAAGGCAGTGGTTCTCAAGTGTTGGTGGCAATGTCTGGAGATGGTTTTCATTGTCAGGAATGGTTGGGATAGGAGCAATGCTACCAGAACCTAGTGGGCAGAGATCAACAACACTATTCAATGTCCTATTCTCATAACAAAGAATTAACCTGCCTAAAATGTCAAGGAGGCTGAGGTTGATAAACTGCTCTAAGGGAAAGAAATGAGTGGAAAAAAGAGGCTAGAGAGACTTGCCCTTGGGAAACTAGGAAAGAGGTGTTAGATTTTCCTCAGAGACAGCAAGATAAGAAAACTGGTGAACATAGGAGGAAATACTGTTTTTAGTATAGGTGACAAAAACTAGATGATCACTGACAAAATTGCAAGTAAATCAAAGAGCAAAAGGCTTTGAAGTATTTTTCATGGGTTTATAAATCCAGATAGCAAGAATAATTATAAACACACTTACCAGCTCTGGGTGACTCTTAGTTGTGGCAAATGGGAAGGAATGTTTTCTTTAAGATGTTCTACATCTTTGTAATCTTCTTCAAGGGATTCACAGAGTTCCTAAAATTTAAAAATAGTCACAAATAAGTCTCTGTCCTCCCCATGCATGTTTTAAGATATTCTCAAGAGCAGGGAAAACGGTGAACCATGATCACACTGACTGTGAGTACTGAAAATGCAGAATGAAGTGAAAAAGCAATGAATCCAGCAATATAAAATTGGTTTCTAGAGCTATTTTTGGATGGTGGTAACATTTTTCCCTACTGGATTTTTTTCAGAGAATGATCACTATAATCACATTGCAATTACAAAGCAGGACTGAAGTTAAATCTTTCTCAAATACTTTAATCTTGGGAGACAACTAAGAAATATATAAAAAGTTTTTCATTCCATAAAATTGCTTTTGTTGGCTTAGCAAATGCTCCCCGGTGTTATCTGTATAACAGCATCTGTGTTATCACAGCGTGGTAATATAGCTGGCAAGCACGAGATACTGCTTTGGGATGACTTCCACTGCGGGCTACCTACATCCCCGCTTCATGAAAATTTCTAATTGATAGCTGGGGTTTTTGGCCTCTTTTACCAGAACTTGAGGCCATGAACTCATACAAATTTTAATAAAGAAAATATTCTGTGCCTTTGGATTCCCGCCATCTGGCTCTCAATCACAATGTGAACAGAAATTCCAAATAGCCTTCGGTTCTGAGTTGAGCATTCTCTAGGCCCACACCCTAATCCTGGACATTCTTGGGTAGGTTAGAACTGAAATGCCAGTATTGGTTTCTGTTTTGAATTTATATAATGTCTTTTCCTTGAAGAGGTGAATGACATTCATGGATACCAATTCCATTTTGACTAATACAATGATAGGCATAATCATGCCATTTCCTATAGCTGAAAAATCTTTACAGATCTTAAGGATTATAAGGCTGAATGGGGTCAGGGAGGTCCCTTGTTCAATCCCACTGAGCACTTCCCCAGCTCTAACAACATGAGATAATTATGGTACATATTATTTCCCCATGAGCAAGTGCGCAAACACTTTTATTAGATGAAGTCAATTTAAAGGCTTATTTAGAATAAAATATGCATGTGAATGAGGCTCAAGTTTTTCTTTACTTGAGAACCCTTATATTACCTTTTATAAAAATATAGAAATGTAGACATATAAGGGAGCTAAGAAACAGTTCAATATGATCTACTATTTTTCAAACGAGGATCTTGAAACCCCAAGAGGTAAAATGGCTTTCTCAGGGCGGCAGGGAGTACCAAGGACTGTCAAGGTAAGAATCCACATCTCCTCACCCCAGGCAAGTGTTCTTTACATACCACTCTACCAGAACATCATTGTTTAAACTAAAGCTACCAAGAATAATTAGCAAACTTTCCTTTCTCGTAAAGTTCAATTCCATTGGCCATCAGCAGAAAGAAGTAGCTGTGGAGCTCCAAACTCCATTATACTAGGAAAATAAAACATAAATGGCATACTGTACCATTAATAATTTATAAACCAAAAATATTATAAACAAAGAATCTTTAAGAATTACTTGATGATTAGGAAGTTTGTATGTATTGTCTTTTTACTGCATCCTCATTAGAGAAACATTACCTTGAGTGAATTGTTCGTTTGTTCTTGATGCTGAATTTCCAATTCCAATTGATTTAGAAGTTCATTTACTATAATGATCTCATCTCCTATTTTATTTAACATAGTCTTCAAGGTAGGTTCCTGGCCTGTTATAAATAAAAATAAGATAGAAAACAAAGTGTATAGAAAAGCACTAACTACAAGTACTCATGCAAACTCTTGGAACAGATAGCTGTACCTTAGAGTGGGGTGAAAAAAGGACTATTGCTTCAGCCCCTAGAAATTGACTCCATAGATAATCTTAAGACCTCATCTCTAAGAAGTATGGAAGAGAAAGAGGGGAGGGGCAAGGACAACGTCTCCCCTGAGTCTTTTGTTTCTGGCAAATTCCACCACATAAAACACTTAGAAATGCTTGATAAAACAAGCATCCTTCTACGTCCACAGCTAAACTTTCATGAAAAAAGGCAAATCTCCAAGGATTCCAACATGAAGAGGGAACTGTGGTTTCCCCCATACCAGGCAGTATGTGTGAGCTGGGGCTGCAGCAGCCCTCATTTGAGGAGTGTGGAGTGATGCTGGGCAGAAGGATATCAGTCTCAGCAATGGAACAGATTTGATTTTAATGGGGATAAGATCCATGGCTTTGGGGTTTAAAACACAGGATGCTAGAAGTGAGAATCTCAAACAAGGCTAGGAGCCTTCTTCATTAATACATTTTCAGTGAAAGTTGTAATCACTCACCAGAGAAATAAGCTTATGTTTTAGACGGGCCCTTCAAAGAGAGAGAGAGAAAAAGAGAGAAAGAGAGAGAGAGAGAGAGAGAGAGAGAGAGAGTGTGAGAGAGAGTGTGTGTGTGTGTGTGTGTGTGTGTGTGTGTGTGTGTCAGGAGTAGGAGTGAGGTTGAGGTGAAATTTTCTTTGGGACTTTGTAGTATGGATTTGGAATTCATATTTACAGTATCTACACTATTCAAAATCACCCCTAAGCAGAGAAGGTAAGATAAAAAGTCACAAGCTGGTGATAACCCTGGCTACCCGGCAAAAACAAACCTAAGACATTTATAAAGTAGTATATTCTCATATTCCCAATCCCACCTCCTAGCACCTCTCTTAGCAGCTTTCAGAGACTGGAGATGAATGAGAAAATCAGAGTCCCTTCTTCCCTAGAATTAAAAGAAGTAGTTTAAAAAATAATGTAAGGGCAGATTAAAAGCAAAAAAGAAAAACTACCCTCATAATTGGATCTTTCCATCTGCATTTCCAGCAATCTAACAATGACATACACATAAGTAAATGCAGACTTTGGCAATATCTGTAGATTATGGAGGCAGTAAAATGGACCAGGCAAAGGCCTGAGGTCAGAGACACCAAGTACCTACCTCATTACTGCAAAGATAAGTGAAAGTACATATAAGATGGGCTTAGGACTGCATCTAGAACCTAATAGTAAATGTTAACTGTCATTCATCATCATCATGAGGAGTATATCATTCTGCCTGATAAAGCAATGCTACTTGCATTTGACACTCAGCTCATAACTAAAACAAAAAGTAAATGACAGTACTGATGTCTCTACTGTGAATAATTTCAGTAGAATTAGTTGAATACAGTATTTCTTCCCCATACACTGGTATCTCACCTTTTAATCACCTAAATTTTAGGGTGTTTTTCACCATGTTTTTTTAGACAGGGTCTTGCTCTGTCACCCAGGCTGGAGTTCAGTGGCACCATCACAGTTCACTGCAGCCTCAACCTCAAAGGCACAAGCAATCCTCCCACCTCAGCCTCCTCAGTAGCTGGGACTACAGGTAAGTGCCACCATGCCTGGCTAATTTTTTATTTTTTTGTAGAAACGGGGTCTTACTATGTTACCAGACTGGTCTCAAACTCCTAAGCTCAAGCGATCCGCCCGCCTCAGCCTCCCAAAGTGCTGCAATTACAGGCGATTACAAACCATAATACAAGTTCAACACAACCTTCCCAGCACATGGAATTCTGTCTGCCAATAAACCTTTACCCTCCCAGATAAGATTAGGGAGTATATAATTTTGTAAACATTTTTGATTTGACAAGGATTATCTGCTTCTCTGAACTTCCACTGCACCATCCAATTTCAGCACATCAAAATATTTTCAGATATTTACAATCTCCAAGTTCATGGATGCTTAAATGATTTATCGTCAATTAATTCTTTCTCAGTGATATAGAGTAATAAGCTTCCTCAAAAGCAGGCTGTAAGATGGGTTATGAATTATTTTTACCTCTATGGATCTCTGCATCAGTTTTTTTTTACTTGCCTTTTAATACAGTGATGTGACACATAACAATGATTCAGTCAACAATGAACCACAAATATGACAGTAGCCCGTAAGATTATAACGGAGCTGAAATATTCCTATTGTCTTGTGATATCGGAGCCATCATAACATCATGGTTCAATGCATTATTCACATGCTTGTGGTGATGCTGGTGTAAACAAACAACTGTACTGCCAGTGTTATAAAAGTACAGCACATACAATTATGTATAGTACATAATAACTGTTAATAAACGGTTACTAGTTCATGTTGTTTACTATACTATACTTTTTAGAGTGTACTTCTTCTACTTATTAAAAAAAAAAAGTTAACTGTAAACAGCCTCAGGCAGGTCCCTCAGGAGATATTCCAGAAGGCATTGTTGTCATAGGAGATGACTGTTCCATGTGTGTTACTGCCCCTGAACACCTTATAGTGGAACAAGATGTGGACGTGGAAGACAGATGCTGATGATCTTGACCCTGAACAGACCTAGGCTAATATGTGTGTGTGTGTGTGTGTGTGTGTGTGTGTGTGTGTGTGTGTGTGTATTCGTTTTTGACAAAAAAGCTTAAAAAGTAAAAAAAGAAAAAAGCTCATAAAGATATAAAATATATTTTTGTATACCTGTACAATGTATTTGTTTTGAGCTGTTATTAGAAAATAAAAAAGCTAAACCAAACTAAAAAGTTTAAGTAAAAAAGTTATAGTAAGCTATGATTAATTTATTATTGAAGAAGTTTTTTTAAAAAATAAATTTAGTGTAGCCTAAGTGTATAGTACTTATAAAGTCTACAGTAGTATGCAGTGATGTCTTAGGCCTTCACATTCACTCACTGTCTCACCCAGAGCAACTTCCAGTTCTCCAAGGTCCATTCATGGTAAGCGGCCTATGCAGGTGTACCATTTTTAATCTTTCTTTTTCTTTTTTTGAGACGAGTCTTGCTCTGTCACCAGGCTGGAGTGCAATGGTGCAATCTCAGCTCACTGCAACCTCTGCCTCCCAGGTTCAAGTGATTCTCCTGCCTTAGCCTCCCAAGTGGCTGGGGTGCGCACCATCACACCTAGCTAACTTTTGTATTTTTAGTAGAGACGGGGTTTCACCATTTTAGCCAGGATGGTCTGGATCTTTTGACCTCAAGATCTGCCTGCCTCGGCCTCCCAAAGTGCTGGGATTACAGGCATGAGCCACCACACTCAGCCCATTTTTAATCTTTTACTGTATCTTCACTATGTTTAGATACACAAATACTCATCACTGTGTTACACTTGCCTAAGGTATTCAGTACCGTCACATGCTATACAGGTTTGTTGCCTAGGAGCAATAGGCTATATAGCCTAGATATGTAGCAGGCTGTACCATCTAGGTCTGCGTACATTTACGTATACGCTATGATGTGATGTTTGCACAATGACAAAATCATGTAATGCTTTTATCAGAACACATCTCCATCATTAAGCAACGCATGTATCTCTGCTTAGCTGTAGAATCATGGATGCCACCTAACCTTCAAATCTTACCAATATATGTCTCAGAAAAACATAAGTAAATAATTCTTATGAATATTCAGTTCATTGTTCAATGTACCTTATATTTTTAATATCCTTTGCAATATTCAAAATATTGGCATTGGACAATTTAAAAAATTGTTATTCAAAATCTAAAATTACCTAAGATGCAGTCACTTAACCAGGCATAATCATTCAGAGTGGAATAATCAAAATGCATTTTGTATATACAAAGTCAGTGGAATCTGTTTTACTTACCACAGTTTCTTAATGACAAGGTTTTCTTAATATTGCCAATCTTTTCATTAACATGAGAGCATAACAGTTCCAGATCTGAGGAGGCCATCCTTTAAGCCTCTGAAGAAAAAAATATAAACATATTCGTAAAAAGAAAAGCCACACAAATTTCTGTTCACTTTCGAAATCCAAGAATGGTCAATATCAAGTAAATCACATGTCCTTGAGGGTTAAGTACAAAAACTCAAGAGCAATTTCCTTCAGTTCTACAACATTGTTTCTACCCAAGGTACAGTACTGACTTGTCTTAGAGCCTTCCGCCATCGATGGATCCCAAACCAGGGTAAAGGGGCTAAGCCTGGGTCCTTTCCTTAAGGATTTAGGAGGACAAATGCGCTATTTATATATAAAGACAACACTGGTATTTTCTTTAAAAAAGCAAAATACACATTTTAAAGAAATGTGTCACACTGTCAAAGAAACAGGCCCAGGTAATCATTTTTCCTATGTTGTGAGGGGTTGGAGCTTTACAGTTTGGGATTGGTAAGCAGGCAAAGAAATGGGAAAGAATCGGTTTCCCACCCATTCCGCGGGTGAGAGAGGAGGGGCGGGTCTAAGGCATCCACCGCAGCGCCCAGTCCCGCCCTCCCCTACGCCAGGCGAGGCCCGCGGCCCCCAGCCAGCAAGCAGTGTCTCGGGCGTTTCCGAAGTCAGGGTCCCCAACACACAGACTCCAACCTCGAGTCAGTCCGGGAGCAAAAGGCTAATCGCTGCTGGGTCTCCAGCCGCGGACAACTGCAGTCTCGGCTGGAAGACCGGGATGGAGAGACGCAACTCCGGAAGCAAAATTCAAACCGCCCGCCCAGCCCTAGCGCAAAGCGGCGCGGGGCGGCGCAGGCGCACATCCGCACTTCCGAAGCACGGGCTCTGCGGCTGTTCGCGGTTTGCGTCATTCTGGGCCACAGCTGGGTGGGGGAAGGAGGCGTGGCCGAGCCAGGGAAAGGCGGGGCGAGGGCGAAGGCGGGGCTTCCGGACGATAGGAGGACCTGGAGGTACCTCTGCCGCGTTAAGCGGTCTGAGGAAATTTCAGTCAGCCATGCAGTCCTGACCGCCGCCTAGCCAGGTACCAGGCGTGGGGGTTTTAAGGTGGGGATCCAAGACGTGGTCTTCGAAATTTGCTGCACCTTAGAGTCACCAGGGTCGGCCATTACAAGTCTCAGTGCCTAAGGCGCACCCCAAGTCGGTGGAATCTGACACTGGAGACGTGAGACCCAAGCCTTAATATTTTAAAAAATACCCCAAATAATGCCAAAGAACAGCCAAGTTTGTGTGGAGGAAACAGTGATCCTGTCCTCTGGGGCTTACAGCCTCTGTTAAGTGTTCCTGGACCAAACCGGGGGTCGGGCTGCTTATTCCCCTGGTCCAATAGGGAGACGCAGATGAACTGGGAAAGAAGAGAGTTTATTTCGGTAACCGGATACAGGGAAGAGCCCTGGAAAATATCGCCAGATCGACTGAAAATTACAAAGGTTTCCAGAGCTTATATACCTTCTCAGCTATATATGTCTACATGTAAGTGTGCATGTGTCTAAGGACATAAGGGATTAACTTATTTTAATCTGTAACCAAGATCAGTCCTGAAGACCTTACCCTGGAGCCTCAGTAAATTTACTTAATCTGGATGGGTCCAGGTGCCAGGGGTGATGACCCTTATCTTGTCGCCTGCTAAATCATAGAGGTTTGGGCAGTTCCTTCAGACCCCCAGTAAGCTTGTTTGTGGAGGTCTGAGGAGTTTCTTCAGACCCCCAAGAAAAAGTTGTTTAATCCTCAACAGGTCCTGTTAAGGATTCCTTCTTTATCTTGTCATGCTTCAAGGCCCAGGAAAGGCCTGGGCAAAACTCTTGGTAGGCTTTTGTTACATTCCAGCCTTTGTATAAAGACACTGGCTCTTTCACCTGGTAATATTTAACTTAACCAGTGCTGAAACCGTGGTTACAGAGGCCTTCCTGTTCAGCTGTTAGTAAGACCTGGCCTGCCACCTAAGAGCAAATATAAATTTGAAATACGAAAAACAAAAGTTTAATTCTCGCTGTTGAAAAAGAGGGAAAAGCACTGAGGGCTGGAGTGTTAGCACCGCCAGGTTTCCTCCATCCCTTGACTCCACTGTGCTATTATTATGCACTAGAGCCTTCAGGCTGCCAGTCCTGCCCTCAGGTCTTTCTCCCAGGCAGCAGAAACTAGCATGAGGCTTGTGTAATAGGCTTAGCTGCCAGGGGAACCAACACCTTGAGAGCGTTGTGCTGGAAGCCACACCCAGTGGCTTCCATCTGCTTCTCACTGGTCACTCCTATCTGCAAGGGAGACTGAAAAAAATCTTTTGTAAAATTTGTAATCTGGATAGTTACATTGCATTCTCAAGACTTAAGTTTAGCCTAAAGTTGCCTTCATACATATTTTAAGTTCTGCCTAAAGATTTCTTTATACATCACAAACTATAACCTAAATGAAGATGTAAACAGACTACTCTTGTGCTAGTCACTGACTTACAGCTAGTCAAAGGGGCCACCTGTTCAAACAGTGTTCAAATAAGGCAAACGCTGACTGTAACAATCTGGCTGTTGCTGTACCTCACTGCCTTTTCTGTACAACACTTTCCTTTTTCTGTCTATAAATCTTCTTCTACCATGTGGCTGTGCTGAAGTCTCTCTGGACCTACTCTGTCTGGGGAGGCTGCCCTGTTGGTGGAATCATTCTTTACTCAAACTCTGTTAAATTTAATTAGGCTAAAGTTTTTCTTTTAACAGACTATAGGAGTTCTATTTGTAAGGGAGAATGAGAGTATAGATACTGGGTAGGGAAGGAGTTCAGAGCATACCACCTCAAAACATGCCACTGTAGCATGTTGATTCTTTTGAGTGAAAAGCACTTAAAAAACAGCAGGTGCAAGAAAGGCACACTGGCCCTCCTTTTTCTTCCTGAAAGCAGAAGATGGAAGTCCCATGTAAGAAATGTCCTCACTACACCAAAATGAAAGAAACATTCTTATCACTAGAGGTGGGAAGTCAAAGACAAGAGACGTCTATACAAGCAAAACTTGTTGCGCTAACCGGTGCCTTCCTAGTCACTTCACCATGATTCATTGCCCGAATCTAAGCCCTTTTTTCTTGTTATTTTTTCGGTTTACTACTCTGTTCAATTTGGTATGTAAGCATGTAGCTCTAACTGCATTTTTGGGTCTTTATTTTTCTTGTGAGGATTCCCATGTACAAGTAAAAAAAAATATTAATAGTTGTATGCTTTTCTCTTGTTAATCTGTATTACATCAGTTCCAGCCAGAGACCTTAGGAGCATGGAAGAAAATTTTATCCATCACTCTTTAATTTCCTCATGTTACACCATTACATGAACAATTCTAGATTATTAATTCCACATTTTTCATACCCAGCTGACTTTGAAAGAAAATATTTTATTTTTATTTTTTGTATTTCTACTTTGTCTTTTTCTTACAGCTAGATGTCAGGTTTAACTTCTGGATGTCCCCAAGTCAGAATTAACTAAAAGCTTTGTTATAGAATTAGGATTGAGGATCTCTTTAAGCAACAGGATCATATTTCTGGGCATCTTGGGAAACATTAATGTTTTGACCAATGACAAGTGACCAACTGATCCAATAAGTTTTGGACAGCTTCATAGATCTCAGATGCTTATAAGTCTTCATTCAGAAGAGGGAGGGCCTGTTGAAATAGATGGGGTGCATTCTGAGATGCCTCACTGATCAGATCTGACCCAAGGCAGATTATGTTTTTACATTTCCTATTAATCTACAGTCCTTTGGCTTGTTTTTAAAAGTCTTTTTCCAGCTGACAGTTTTAAAATCCATTGCATGTACTTGTAATACTGTTCTCACTGGGATAACTTCTTAATTCTCACAAGTAGTCATAGCAGCTGAGACATATCATTCCAGAAAATCAAACTCTTTACTTTTCAGTGTCTCATGCCCTCAAATGATATGTAGTCCTGGTAGTGCTGGTTGGTTTATTTGTTTTTAACCAGAAAAGAGAGGAAGAAGAAAAAAGACTTACAATTTTCCTAGTGTTCTTTCTTTACTGCATTGAGTTTTTAACCAGTATACACTTTTTTAGTATTATAGTTAGAGTCCCAATTTCTGTGCCACCAGAACTGCCCCTAACAAAGGCCCAGTGCTATGTATTATGACTAGAGGCAGGAAAGGAAGGTACCCAACATGCAAAACTTCTCACTACTTCTCTCTCTCTCTTGCTTTCTGATGTTTAAAATGCCACCCATGCATGAGACAGGGAAAGATGGAAAAAAAAAAGATGGAGACGTTCTCCTCGGTCATTAAATGGCTCTGTGAACTTGGAAAATGGATGGCTTTTCTTTTTCTTTCTTTCTTTTTTTTTTTTTTTTTGAGATGGAATCTCGCTCCGTCACCCAGACTGGAGTGCAGTGGTGTGATCACGGCTTACCACAAACCTCTACGTCCGGGTTTCAAGCAATTCTCCTGCCTCAGCCTCCTGAGTAGCTGGGATTACAGGCATGAGCTACCACCCCAGGTGAATTTTCATATTTTTAGTGGAGAGAGGGTTTCGCCATGTTGACCAGGCTGGTCTGCAACACCTGACCTCAGGCGATCTGCCCACTTCAGCCTCCCAAAATGCTGGGATTATAGACATGAGCCACAGTGCCCAGCCCAAAAGTGGATGGCATCTGAGGTCACTTCCAGCTCAAAGCACTAGGTTCTTTGTCTTGTGAAAAGTATCTCCTTCTTCCTGTGAACCTACTGAAAAAATATAAATATGATGCTGTAGAAGAGATGGACTTTTAAGTTTAAAAGAATTGAGACTGCATCACAGTTTTTCTTCCGCTACTTCTTAACAAGATGCACCCAAAATCACTTAAAAAACAAACAAAAAAAACCTCTCCCCCAAAAATCACTAATAATTGCCAACAAGGAGAGAGAGATAGTGGAATGCAATAAACTTTAAAACTTTATATCAAGGAGGGAAAGGAAGGACTCCGGAGCACAGAGGATAAATATCCTGTCTCCTAATCATGCACCACACTTGAAGTCATTTGCTGATAACCCCCACACCAGTTGGCTGAACCCAACCTGATGCCAGAAGATGAAAGAAACCCTAGGTCAGCACCCACATTCCCCTGCTGGGTCCAGGGCTGGATGGAAAACCATGGAGAGTGAACCTTAGGGGGCAAATGGAAGACACCAGCACAAGCCTTGAGATTATGCTGTTCACATACTAACATACTTTGTGAATTTGATAAAGTATTTATCAGAACAGGTGTTAGTATCTTATATATAAATATTTGAAATCAAGTACTATAATAAGTTATATAAGCATATCTTTTATTTGATAGGGATTTTCCCCAATGCATTTAAAGTACTTTAAAGGATATTTTTATATTGGTTATTTACAAAGTGGGCAGTTGTCCAGTTTCTGAGATAGAAAAATATAAGGCTTGCCAAATTTCCTAGAATCAATTAGTTGTGGAAGCAACTGCCTATCTGATCTCTAATAATGGGCCACAGGAAAGACAGACAGAACCATTTTCATGTCATTTACATCAATGTTTTCATTTTGCCAGATATGTTTTAATCTCCCAGGCCAAGGCATTTTTCTTGCTTATCTTCTAAAAGTTATTTTCTTTAAGGAAAATTTAGCTATAAAAAGGAAAACACATAATTTCATTTTATTAACTGCCATTATGTGCAAGTCTATATAATGAGGCAGTTTTGGTGTTTTAGAAGTCCTCTATGTGGATACAACCAGGCATATGGAGGTATACATTCTATATATAAACTTTAAGATTAAATTAATAACTCATGTACTTCAGAGATGGTTATAATAAATTGCAAGATTGTAGATCTTTGCATCAAAGAGTTACCATACATCATTAGAGCACTCCCAAACCTCCAAGTAAACGTCCCAGATAATTTAGAAAATGGTTAAATTATGATAGGAATCTTTCATGTGACATTGCCACACTGTTATAGCAGAGGGGACAAACCCAGGCACAGTGGATTCACCTTCCCAGATACAATTGGTGTTTGAGAAAAACTGAGGCTGCCCAGAAGGAGTCCAAGTTCTAGTAGGGGAGCTCCCCCAGAGCCTGGCTACATTCAGGGGAGCAGCATGTGTGCCCCTACCATGATGGTGGGTGGAACAGCAAAGCTCAGTCCTCTGTTCACCATGTAGTGGTCACATGCACATTCTGCAGTTGAGTGGATTGGGTCTCCCTCACCAGATTCGATGAAGCTGTCCCAAGGACCTTCACTGGCCCAGATTTTCACCTCTGCCTCTTTCCCTTGTATCCTGCTGCCAAACCATTCACTTGACCTCAGTGCCTGGGCTGGAACATGTTATCCAGCTGATCACCTCACCCCCCAGCCCCACTCCACACAATGCATTTCTTAACTGTCTGTCCTCGTGACCTCTCCACCATCCATTATACTCCAGTCACTGGTCTTGCCCAGCTCTTGGTCTTGCCACTTCTACTCTAGCCTGCCTCACTGCCATCCACAGCAGCTTCAGAATTAGCAACAGCATCCTTTGTCATAACAGTGAACTCACTTGTCATTGCTTATGAAAGTAGAATCAGATGGTAATGCAGTTGACAGGAGGGCAGCCATACCTGACATGACAGTCAGGAGTGAGCTCCAGAATGATGGCAACTCCGTTTCTGAAACACTGATGTGGAAGCCCAGGCCCCTTTGCGTGAGGCACACATCCCCTCTTCATTTGGCCCCTGCCTGCCTTGGCAGCTTTATCTTTCAGCACCTCCTGTGTGGACGTTTATCTCACAGCAACAGCTGCCTGTAGGGTTGCTCCTGTGACCCTGTGTGTGACCTGCATTCCTCCCTGTGCCATCAGGACACACACAAGCCTTGCCAGCCCACCCATGTTGTCTGACACCACTAAGTCTTTGGTCATGATGTTCTTCTCTCTACACCCCTCATAATTCTCTATCTCAGTCACCCATTCATTTTTCAAAATTTAGCAAACGAATCCCTTCCCATCAGAAGCCTTCCTTGATCCCTTCTTGGATTAGGTTTCCCTGCGAGTTTTCTTCTGATTTAGTTGGTCTAGGGGTGGGGTTCAGAATCAGAAATTTTAAAAACTGCTTGGATAATTCTAATGTGCATCAGAGTTGAAAGCCATTGAGGAAAAAAGAAAAGGAAGATGGAAGGAAACAAGACAGTAGGGCTTTCCAGGTTCCTACCTGAGGCTCACTGGTCTTCTGAAATGCAACACGAAGAGGGGTGTCAGGAGTTGAATTGTGCTCACCCCCCATTCGTATTTCAAAGTCCTAACCCCCAGTACCTCAGAATGTGATCTTATTTGGAGATAGGGTCTTTACAGAGGTAATCAAGTTAAGACGAGGTCATTAGCTGGGCCCTAAACCAATATGACTATTTTCTTTATAAAAAAGAGGAAATTTGGACATGAAGACATGCACAGGATGATTATGTGAACAGGCAGGGAGAAGATGGGCATCTGCAAGCCAAGGAGAGTGGCTAGGAGCAGATCTTCCCCTCACAGGTAACAAACCCTGCCAATACCTTGATTTCAGACTTCTCACCTCCAGCACTATGGACAATCAATTTATGTTGTGTAAGAAGCCACTCAGTTTGTGGTACTTTATTATGGCAACCCGAACAAATCAATACAGAGAGTAACAATAAGAAAAAGCCCTACCCGCAGATTGCTTGAGCTCAGGATTTTGATACCAGCCTGGACAAAACAGTGAAACCAGGTCTCTACAAAAAATACAAAAAGTAGTCAGGTATGGTGGCATGCACCATAGTCCCAGCTACTTGGGAGCCTGAGATGGGAGGATCACTTGAGGCCAGAGGATGAGGCTGCAGTGAGCCACGATTGTGCCACTCCAGCCATGTTGACAGAACAAGACCCTGTATAAAAAAAAAAAAAAAAAAAAAAAGGAAAAGAAAAAGAAAACAGAAAACACTCCACCATCCCTGGATTCACTTGTATTTCTGATGAGCTACGCCTGGACTCTTCCTGGTGATGGATTGAACTTATCTATGCATTGAGGAAATACTGTTTTTTAAAATCATGAGCTCTAAAGGAAAGGTTTTTGTGGGAAATACACTCTGTTTAAGAAATGGATGAGAATGTTCACTTAATGTTTGTGTAGATCCTTAAGAATTAAGCTTTGAATGGAGAAACTGTTTCTTGATGATGCCAAAAGGATGAGGTATTACCATAAAGCAGAACACCGTGTCTCTGTATGGTATCAATAAAGCTCTAACCAAATCATAGCTTACTTAGAATGCTGAATATTTGTCATCTTCTTCAAACTTGAGAAAATAGATTTTGGCTTTAATAGAATTCTAGCTAGAAGACTTACTTGCCACATGGCCACAAGGTGGCAGAGCAGCAACATTCTTCTGGAAGCCACCAGCTAAGCAAAACACAGCCAGAACTATGTGGCCACATGTAGGAAGTAAGCAGTGCTCTTAAAGTTTATGAAGCTGAACTTTCTCCCTCTTTTTAAGCACTCCCTTTTTCTGAATGTCACAAAAAAACTTTCAGTGCCACAAAAGAAATAGCACTCAAACATAACTTTTCTCAGCAAGGCAAACTTACTTCTATAGAAGGATGTATCTCTTGGATGGAGCAATGTTGAGAGCACACCCAAACAAGGGAGGGGAAGGTTTTTTTTAATCCCTGTTGCAGGTAGCCCCTGCTGCTGTGTCGTTTCCCCTATTGGCTATGTTTGGACAGCACAGTCTAAGCTAATTCCTATTGGCTCTATTAAAGAGAGCAGGGATATGAGCCAGAATGGCGGGGTGAGCAGATCACAGAGCAGGTGACTAAAAGTAACTCAGGTCAGAGCAGGTGACCAGGAGTGACTCAGGACTAAGCAGATGAACAGGGGAATAGATGTGAACTACTGATTAGAACTGGCAGGAAGGTTGTTACTGAAACTAGGGGCAAGGAGATGAAGAGAACGAGGAAGTTAAACTTTAAAATGGAGAACAAAGAACTGAACATACTGACACACTGATTCTTTGAAGGGAAACTTAGAACTTGCTGTATTTAACAGTTTCTCCCTTTTGAATTTTACAGTTTTTTCTCTTCAAACTTTCTTAACATGTCCTGGCTTAGTTGTTCTGCTTGATTCTCTAAAAGAAGAAGTTTCTCTGATAAGGTGGAGGAGAGTTAAGGGAGGCTTTAGTAAGTACTGTTTTTATAAGCCTCTGAATTAGCCTTTGGATACAAGGGATAATACAACACTTAACAAGAATAAACACATTTAGTATAATAGTAAGAGAAGTGAGTATTCAGGACATAAGTCCTTTTTACTTGCTAAACCATTTTTCCATTAAATTAGTGAAAGGATCATTTATTTTAGAATTTTTAGCTAGCTCATTGGATAAAGTAGCAAGGCCTTGTAGCGCTTTCACTATGGTTTTATTGGGGGGAGTGTTATTAGGGATAAAAGTACAACATTGAGTTTTAATTATGATACAAACTCTACTTTTTTTTGCTAGTTTATATTTAATGCCACCTTATTTTCCTAAGCCATTTGATGAGTGGGCCTTAACTGTTTACCTATACCTTTAATAGCATCTTTAGTATAATTAACAAATTGTTGCTAATTATAGTAGATGCAATTTATTTAATTTACATTTTTATTTATAGTCAACTACCAGAACAATACGGACTCAAACCCTGCAGCTATTTGATTACAGGCCTTAAATTTATTTGGTACTCTTCATGGAACTTTGATAGTATTTATATAAACATGAGGGTTAAAGGACTCAAGAGGGCCTTTTTTGTTTTATGGTTCTTTGCTTTTATCTTTCTTGATTGATGAAATGCCAGGGTGAAAGGGATGGCCAATTGGACTAGAGCACAAGTTCCACTCTAGTTACTTGGCAGAGTACCCAGCAATAGTCCCCCACAATTCCACCACACATCTGCTTGGGAATGAACAGGGGCACACTGATTGGTAAGCTCTTGAAAAGGCTTGGTTTCACTGCACCCTGTTAAGTCTCCAAGGAATGCTAACTTTTCCTCCTGCTGTGAAAGGCAGGAGGTGAAGTTAACATTAGGGTGTGGAGGCAGGATGGCCCTCGAGGGCTGACCTGCAGGGCTCTTGACCTCAAGGAACAACAGTGAAAGAGTCTTACATGACTCATCACCCCAGGCTGTGGGGTTCTGGAAAAGAGCTACCATACAGCTTATGCCCAGTCTGTGAGAGGGCCACTCAAGTGGAAAGGGGACAGTTTGGGTCTCTGGCCTGCCTGTTGCACAAGCATAACAGTTACTTTTGTTTAGTGTGCAAACAGAATATTTAATCTATTTCAGCCAAGCACTTGCATCCTAATACCTGTTTTAATTGCTATAGTTTGTTTTAAATATTTAACCTCTACAACAGTTACTTTGGTTTTATTATTGGGCATATAACAAGAAAAGGTTTGGTTAGCAGAGAGCTTAGGAGAGGGGGAATTGGGTGCAGAGGTTGGGGAGCAATGAAGTACATTTTAAACTATCCTATGGGGTCCCTTCCTGAGACTTCTGTTCCTACACTATAGAAACAGCTTAATAAAGGGGAAGAACTCTGGGAAGCAGAGATGGTAATCTCTACTGGATTACATTGGTTCAGCTGACAGTTGGGAGGGATAACTTCTTTAGTAAAATGAATATACAGTTTTAAGAAACTGCAAGTATTAATTCAGGACATAGGCGTAGGCAAGGACTTCATGACCAAAACACCAAAAGCATTGGCAACAGAAGCCAAAATAGACAAATAGGACCTAATCAAACTCCACAGCTTCTGCATGGCAAAAGAAACAGTCATTAGAGTGGATCAACAACCAACAGAATGGGAGAACATTTTTGCAGTCTACCCACCTGACAAAGGGCTGATATCCAGAATTTACAAAGAACTAAAACAGATTTACAAGAAAAAAAAACAAACAAGCCCATTCAAAAGTGGGCGAGGACTTGAACAGACACTTTACAAAAGAAGACATACATGAGGCCAACAAACATATGAAAAAATGCTCATCATCACTGGTCATTAGAGAAATGCAAATCAAAACTACATTGAGATACCATCTCACGCCAGTTAGAATGGCGACCATTAAAAAATCTGGAGACAACAGATGCTGGAGAGGATGTGGAGAAATAGGAACACTTTTACACTGTTGGTGGTAGTGTAAATTAGTTCAACCATTGTAGAAGACAGTGTGGCGATTCCTCAAGGACCTAGAAATAGAAATCCCATTTGACCCAGCAATCCCATTACTGGATATATATCCAAAGGATTATAAATCATTTTACTATAAGGACACATGCACACGAATGTTCATTGCAGCACAGTTTACAATTGTAAAGACCTAGAACCAACCCAAATGCCCATTGATGATAGACTGGACAGGGAAAATGTGGCACATATACACCATGGAATATTATGCAGCCATCAAAAACAAGTTTGTGTCCTTTGTAGGGACATGGATGAACCTGGAAACCATCATTCTCAGCAAACTGACACAAGAACAGAAAATCAAACACTGTATGTTCTCACTCATAGGCAGGTGTTGAACAATGAGAACACATGGACACAGGGAGGGGAGCATCACACACTGGGGTCTGTTGGGGGGAAATAGGGGAGGGAGAGCAGGGGGTGGGGAGTTGGGGAGAGATAGCATGGGGAGAAATCCCAGATATAGGTGAAGGGGAGGAAGGCAGCAAATCACAATGCCATGTGTGTACCTATGCAACAATCTTGCATGTTCTTCACATGTACCCCAAAACCTAAAATGCAATAATAAAAACAAAAGAAAGTACAAGTATTAGG